ATAGTCGGAGTCACTTTCAGTGAAATGCGAACTTGCCATTCTGGGCCTAAAACAGGAGAAAAATCCCGATAGTCTGAGTACAAGCTACAGAACGAATAAGGTTTGAGTTTCTTGTGTGTGTGTGTGTGTGTGTGTGTGTAAAATATAAAGATTTAGGGGCTACTTACATGGCTCACCTAGTAGACCTGTCTTCGGATCAATACAACAAAGTCTAAGTCCTGATCAGTCAGCAGCACTGCCCTAGGGGGGGGGGAGTGTTTAGACAGCGTTGCCTTCTAATTAAGGAGTGTAGAATAATATGCTAATGGAAAAACATATATATAGCTGAGCAATATTCATGTGTATTGTTGGACAAAAAGCAGATCTGATTTAAGTTTTATCAAACCCAAGTTTGCTTTTTCTAATGGTTTCCAATAGTCAGCAGACAAGCAGATCACGTTGTGTGTTAAGTAAGCTGCAAGCAACAGTAATCTATTGTAGGCTAGCAAAACAATAAGGACCGCCTCATTTTCACTCTTGCACAAGCAGGATTCACTGCAACTCAAGGCGTGTGCTCTGTGTTGTGTATCAGGCCTATTGCATCATTAGAGGATGTCCATATTCTACCATTCAACCATAGAAAGTATGATCAATTTTTCATCGTGTGTCCAGGACTTCGGTCTGTCCGGGTACCGGTGTGGCGTGCTGTGGAGCGCCAACAAGGAGATGATCGATGTGATCAACAAGACCATGTTCCATTCGCCCCCGGCCGTCATTCAGATGAGACTCAAACACATCATTGACGACACAGGTAAGGAACTGACGACACTGACGACACAGGTAAGAAACTGACGACATAAGCCTGAAATTGACGACACAGGTAAGAAACTGGGTAATTAACTGACAAGACAGGTAAGAAATTGGCAACACATGAAAGAACTAGACAAGACAGGTAAGACTCTCTGAGTTTTGAATAATAATATAATAGTCGAAATTGTCTAAGACGGTTACACATTATCGAAGTGTAACGTTGTCGTCTAAGACAGATGGTCGTCTTATAGTGTTTTTATAAAGTGTTTTAAAAAGCCGCAAGAGGGGTATTGGAAGTGGCCGTTTGAACAGGTGATTGTCTTATATATGTGGCCATTACAGTAGGTTTAACTATCTAGATCTCTCTGAGCAGAGGGAGAACAAACCATTATGTTGCAACTGCAAATGTTTTTGTCTCCTTTAAAATACAATTGTGGAAGTTTTACGATAAGAATGCTCTACCGATGGCAATCGAAGTCACGTAATCAAATCAAACGACATACCACCCCCCTCCCCCCGACTCACAGTATACATATGCCACACGCCACAATTATAATAATAATAA